GACTCCTTGAAGGCGGTGTATGGACCGATGTTGGAGCCCCTGAGGACGCTGATCGATGGTAGTTCAGGCGCTACCTGCACCCAGACTGCAGACGTAATGCAGTTCTGGCGAAAACACTTTGACTGTCTCTTGAACAACAGTTCCGAGATTGACTGGCCTGCATTGAACGGCCTCAAGCAGCACGATGTGAAGATGCGTCTGGTGGACACGGGAACACTGAATGAGACGAAGAGAGCACTTGCTCAGTTGCGAAACGTAAAGTGTGCTTGTGCCGACGGGATCCCGCCTGCAATGTTGAAACACTGCGGACCGGCGTTAATGACTACTTCACACCACTTGGTGCAACTCTTGTGAATTGAGGAGGAGGTGCCTCCTGAGGTGGAAGATGCCCTTGTACTACTACTTTACAAGTGCAAAGGAAGCAAACAATGTTGCATGAATTACCATGGCATCAACTTGCAGAGTTGTGTGGGCAGGGTGACAACCCGAATCCTGCTCAACCGCCTTGTCAGTCAGATTGTGGAACCGAACGTGGCGGAAGAGCAATTTGGATTTCGTTCTGGTCGTAGCACTATAGATATGGTGTTTGCGGCTCATCAGTTGCAGGAGAAGTGCAGAGAACGACACCAGCCTTTCTACTTGCTTTTTGCCCATTTCACTAAGGCATTTGATACGGTGAACCGCGAGGCATTGTGGCTGGTGTTGGGTAAGTTTGGTTGCCCGCGTAAGTTTGTAATTTTAATTGTTTGTCTGCACAGTGGTATGCGAGCGACGGTGCAGCTGAGTGGAGAGACCTCGGATGACTTTGCAGTTGTCCCTGGTGTGAATCTAGACTGTTTCCCAGCTCCTGCCCATTTTGCTATATATCTTCATGCAATGATGTCTTGTGCTTTTGATGCAGCTTGTGCTTATGGTGTTCGCGTGGAGCACCGTATTGATGGTGGATTGCTGAACATCCATCGTTTCGGTGCGAGAACTCTAGTCTGTGAGACAACTATCCGTATGTTGCCGTTTGCTGACGACTGTGCGTTGTTTGCACACATCGCGGATGAGTTGCAGCACATGACTAGTGCTCTGGCTTCGACAGCGGCCAAATTCGGGCTCACCATCAACACAAGCAAAACTGTCTATCTTTTTCAGTCTTCACCGGAGGTGCAATCTGCAATGCTGCTGCGAGTCAGCATTGGTGCCGAAGTATTGGAAACCACCTCCCGCTTCTGCTACCTTGGGAGTGTGACGTCGACTGATCAGCAGCTACACAGTGAGCTGCGGCATTCGGGTAGCTAGAGTACCGTGTGTCGAACGACCATCAGCTTACCGTTGGCACGAAGCTGATGATGTACAAATCCATGGTGCTGTCCGTTCTTCTATACGACAACGAATCGTGGACGATGTACCGGCGGAATTTGCGATATCTTGAGCGGTTCCATCAACAGAGTCTGCGACGGATTCTACGCATTGATGTGTGCGACAGAGTTGCTGACACGGAAGTGTTGCGTCGAAGTGGAATGTATGAAGTGGACTGGATACTTTTGCTGAGACACCTGACGTGGCTCAGTCATGTGAGCCGTATGGATTCGACGCGGATACCGAAGCATCTGTTATGTGGTCAGCTGAGTGTGGGGAAGCGGCAATGTGAGGAAACCGAAGCTTTGTTACCAGGACATGATCAAAGTGAACCAATCACGTTCTAACCTTGATTGCAGGTCGTGGGAATCGAAGGCGGTTGATCGGCGTGCATGGCGCGATCTGATCACGAAAGCCATTGCCCAAGTGCTTGAGAAATCCCTCTTGCATGCAGAGAAGTAGCGGCATTTGCGGAATCGACAGGCGCCGATGGGTTTTACTCCATCTACGTCGAGCGCATGGTGCTGTAACACATGCGGTCGCGAGTGCCTGAGTCAGGCAGGCCTAGTGAGCCATGAGCGAGGCCACTCGGGACCACTACCGAAGCGACGACGGGTCCTGCAGAGGATGTAGGCAGAACCAGCGCAGCGTTTGTAGGTACGCTGCATTCAATTTATTAACCTCATGCTTACATAAGGGGTCTCTTCATTTCAGGTGGTGAGTTTGCTGTATTGTCCTAATGCTTTTTTTATCTCATTTTAAGGTCTACGTGAACCATCTATAAACTTGCACCCGTCGGTTAAACTACTTTGCTTAACTTCGCTAACATTTTCTCGCTTTTGCCATTTTCTTAAAATGCACTTTCTGACGTCTTGTACTTATCGCGGATCTGTACGTAATCAGTTTATTTCATATGATCGTTTAGTGAAGAGTTATGTCACCGTATCTGTACGCATTATTCACTCTTTTATTTATTATCGTCGTTTCAAGTGATTGGATGTTGCTTGATATCCCCGGTGTGGCTGCGTTTATGTGCATGTTGACAAGGTGCCTACCTGTCTATTACCCTCTGCCTCCCCCATACGGGCTCCAGGAGACGGTTAGTCGTTGCTGCAGGGGACGGGGTGCACAGTCCTTGTGGCCGTGGTAGGCTCGAAGAGTGGTTCCATGCACTCAGTGTGGAGCGGACCACGGTCCAGCCACCGCCTTGTGTGCGGTTGATTCCCCAAATACAACATGCTTGTGTTTGCCTGTGAAGGAGTGTGGACCGGCTCCGTTGATGAAACGTGGCTCCCATCCGCATGCCTACCAGTCTTATTCCTTCGGGTGTACACTGGATATGGGGTGTGTGGTTGGAGCTGTGTGTGGTGCAGCGCAAGCCATCTATGGTACCTCTGTAGGCGCAAGCGTCCTGTGGCTGGCTACAGTGATAGGCAAATCCGAAACTGGATGCTGCCAACCATATGTTTGTGTATGTGTTTCTGCTTGTATTGTGTATGCGACTGGTGAGAACAATCGTATTATGTACGTATCGCCGTCTATATCTTCTTTCTGATTTTACACAGTGGTTGAAGGTGGCCCGGCGTTTACTTACTTTTTTGTAATGGCTATCAATTTGACACGCTCCCGGGAGATTTCATATACAAAAGCTTTTTTATCGGATGTTCGTCGGCCTTCTATACTTGCCTTACGAGGAGTGAAAAATTTTTTCGTGTCAGTCGAGATTGGGAGTCACCTGAATCAAAGCGCATCTCCACTGTTGTGGCGCCTGATTCTAATACTAGATCTCCTCGTTTTGACAGTGCTGTAGGAAGAATGCTTATAACATGTTGGTGCCAATCTCATTTGTTACATTTTTCAGCTGAAACCAATTTTATGATGACCGGTAACTCCACCAACATGCAACATGCTTACACCTTTGCCATCACAGCTTCCACGTAGAAATAAGTGTGCTCGTTATTATCGCACGCACATACTACGGTATTAAGATGCCTAATGCCCCCACATTATTTTATTTAGAATCGGGTGAAGTTAAGAACGTATCCGCATGCCCTCGTGTTTCCCGGAGCTACTGCCGTTTGACTGTGCGCCATTCAAGCTAAGCGTGTGGGCTGTTATCTCGCATGTTCAGGCGCTTCATGTTTTCACATCCACTAGCGGCTTGAGTTATTCGACATAATATCTTTGTCATAGATTTGTCTCGTAATTACTTTGGAATACATTAGAATCGCATACTACCCGGTGTTCATTAGACCACAGATGCACTCAGCTCCTAACATTACACTGTGCTCAGTGTCCACAGCCCATTGTCATATTTACTCTTCCTCTTGATACTTTTTTGCGCTGTTATCGTTGAAACTTTATTATTTACCTTACCTAGTTTGATATACTGGAATTGCTCTACCTCTCATAAAACATTAACTCACTCATGGCGACTCATTCGTTCATCTGTCCTACACATTTTAAAGCTAGCTTCAAATCTCCTGTACGACAACTCGCATTCTTATATTATTTTTAACGCTCACTGTTAACCCGTTAACCCGTTACCCCAACCGGACTAGCAAAAGATCTTTTCACTTCACCATTATTGAGACATTTAATATTGAAGGAATCTTTCTGTCATTTTTCTTTGGTTTTTCATGTAATTGGGATCGGAATATTCTTGTCACTGATCTTTAATTCATGTTTTTCTAGTTATTTGTGTAGTTAATATGAAAAGTTTTTTTATGACATTTAAGGTTTCTGCTGTCTTTGACTCAACAATGTCTGTTCAAGTAAAACTATTTCTTTACGGAGTGAGATGCCTTCACTTCTCGAGACAAACCGTTTGTGCACTGATGTGACTATAAATTGTTTTTGTTGGCGCCGCATGACAGAAGTAGGCAGATTATTTCTTAAACTGCCAGCGGGTTTTTGTGTGTTAGGCACCGCATTCTTCGTCTTTAGCAAAGGGTCTGGCTGACAATACTAGACATTATGTAGGTGTTACGCGTCCACTTGTCGTCGGTTATCGCTGCCAAGAGCTGAAAAAGAGCCTGGGTGACATCTAATCAAACGTTCGTTGTAAGAAAATATTAGCTAGGAGTGTGACGCCGATATGTGATTGTTTACCGCTTACTTCAGCTGTATGGCAGCTCCAACCGTGGCACCTTTGTGTGTGTGTGTGTGTGTGTGTGGAGTGAGTTGCTAATGGTTCGAACATACGAACTTAACATGTCGCTAAACCTTTCACATCTACCACCTTAGCGCACAATAGGAATTTAGAATCGTACACAAGTTCAATCGAACCGGGGCTATATCCAGGCGGATACACATACATAGTTTCACCGCGCACGCCCTACGACACGCTGCAGACAAGTAGAACGTTGACTCTAGCACAAATTGGTCTTATTTCTATGACGTTTAGCTGGCGCGATTAACCCGACACTTCCAACGATATATTCATATGTCCTTGTTTGTTGTGTCGTCACGGATAACTAGGCAGTTCTTCATCGGCTCGCTCGCGTTTCCGTACTTTCTCTGTATATCTTGTTGGCGTCAGCGTGTGCCTCTTCATAAGAACTGAACCGAACGCAGAGTCTATACGGCCTATAGACAGTCGTTACTTCCAAAACTGTGTACCATCTAATATTTATTTCCTATTTCATCTATAGGCCTGCTTCCTGGGTTATGAAGTGGCCCTGAAGTTTTTGAACTACGTGCTTCCCCAATGGTGATTTGAGCTACTGACTCCGCTTTCATGCTTATTGGTTGTGAACTGACCACTGATTACTTTGCATCTCCATCGGTGCCTCTATCATGTACTATACTTTTAGTTCGACATGTACATAGTATTCAGCTTCATTCGCCAATATATGATTGCACAGATGAGCTCTTTCTTTTCTCCTCTTCAGCGAACTATTTTCAAACTCGCATACTGTCCCAAACACTTCCTCTTCTAGTGTGTCTATGCAACTCATATGGTCTTGTAGTTTGTTTTTTCTTTCTCGCTATGCGATGAATCACTATAATAACTATCTACCGGCTTCATTCCCGAAACTCAAAGCACTGGCATTTTGTTCTGATGTTTTAACCGTCTGCACTAGTTGTTGCCTTTGGTGAACAGTGCTCACGATGCTTGGCATGATATCTGGAGCTAAGTGTTTAATGGTATTGCATGGTCTTCTCATTTTCCTCCTTCAGATCCGCGCTATTTCTCAAACAAATTGAACCTGAAGTGCACCACCTCGGTTTTTGTTGCCATTAGGATTCCCCTTGCCAAGGACCCACTGTCTTGGCATTTTAGGTTGGGATGTGCATCTGTAAGGTGTGTGTGTTACGTAAAGGACCCTTATTGGCAATATATTGTAACATAGCCCAATTAAATCGCAACTTCCCTATAGATCACTGGTTCCCAACCTGGGAGTAACTTTTGATTTTGCGATGGGTAAAGGTACGTACAAAGATTGGATCATCTCTCAGTTACGAACCAAAGTTGTTAACAAAGCTACCTGTTCGTTCCTTTTAGAAATTTGATAAGCACGGTAAGAAGACGAAAACTGGTAGATGCATGCATTTCGTATTGTCTCCTCAGTACCATTAACAATAACCGGTATGCAACTATATACTTAACTCTGGGTGTGACCAAATAAGCATGAGGTGCAAAATGAATGACGAAGTTCCACTTCCTATGTCCACAGCAGTCTTAAGCTATTTACTGGATTGGTGGCATCCGTGTCCGGATTTGTCTGTCACTGCAGCCTCCACGGGGACAGCCACAGGACGCCTGCGCCTACAGAGGGACCATGGGTGGCTTGCGCTGCACCACCCACACACCCCATATCTGGTGTAAACCGGAAGTCAAGTGGATGGGAGCCACGTTTCATCAGCGTAGCCGGCCCACACTCCTTCAACAAGCAGAACAGAAGCTTTCCGGCCTAATTGAGAAATCATGCGCACCAGACATACACAAGGCGGTGGCTGGGCCGTAGCCCGTTCCACATAGGATGGAACCATTCTTTGAACCTAGCACCGTCACGTGGATGGTGCACTCCGTCTACTTCAGCAACGACCAACTGTCTCCTAGAGGCAGTATGGACGAGGTGGTGGGTAATATACAAGTAGGCACCTTCTCAACATTCACATCAAGCGCAGCCACATCGGGGAGCTCAAGCAACATCTAACTTCTGAAATGCAAGAATACTCATCACGCAGACAAACGTACCACAGCCGTTGCCTTGTTGGCCTGGATTAGCAAATCGAATGGGAACGGATGCATAACGCTTCTGCTCCGCGTGCAATAGTGCCTTCTCATGCACCTGGACATCCGCTCTCTGGATCAGCCCACGGAAATCGCACCGATCAACTCTGCTTTTGAACCTCAATACTTGAAATTAACATTAGTTGTTTATCAACTCACCTTCATGTCTGGATAACTTTTTATTGATTTGTCCCCGAGCCGCTTCCCTGCACCAAGGTGGCCGTACAAAAGCTGTATGAGTATCCTTGTCGCATTCATTCGGTATACATATAGAATTGCATTGGCGTCATCCGTGACTAATGGCAGTTCGAATGCAACATATGCACATGCGTTTGTCCAAACTGAAGTATGAATTACCACAAACTGGATAGAGATACATTAAACCTCATGTACAAAATAGTACTACCAACGCGTATGGGTTTGCCTTTCAGGTAAGGCTGACAGCCATTTTTGCACGCATGAGAATAAGTACCCAAACGAACGGTTGATGCTTTCATTAACATTTAGACGTGAACATAAATGACAGTCGTAAAATCTTGGGTCTCCATAGTTGAACAAAACCGACAGAGGAATACTGAAGCAACTGCCATCAGTACGGTTACCAGGTAGAATGAGTAATGAACGAGTGGTACAGCCCTATTGGGGCTCGTCAGTGGTGCGCATTTCCCCGCTCCTCTACGGGGGATCGAACCCATGAGCGCTGGAAGCAGATGCCACCGGCCAGCAACTTGGGCCTGTAAGCCATGAGGGATGTTGGCTGCGCTGCATAATTTGCAAGCTACCTGGGATATAGCATAACCTATATTTCACTGTCACGGACAGTGGATAGCCTGCAAGTTTTTGACCTCCTCTTGCTAGACGCTAAGTTCATGTCATTTAGAACTATGTGAGGCTATATATTTATATTATTTGTGATTAGCAGGAATTTACTTGTAACTTTAAGATATCTATCGCAGTTGTTCACAACCTACATAACACAGCCTAATCAGGGAAATCACCAGACGCGTTTGCCCTATTGGTTCTCATCAGTGGTGCGTGTTCCCTCGGTCCCTTACTGGGAATCGAACCTATGATCGCTAGAGGCAGATGCCAACCAACCAACAGCTTAAGCCACTGAGCCATAGAGGACTTTGGCTGGGCTACATAATTTGCAAGCTAAATGGGATATAGCACAAGCTAACTACCACTGTCGCGGACAGTGGCCAGCCTCTCAGTTCCAAATTCTTTGGTTGTAGCGTCTAGCGTGATGACGTCATGACCTCACATGCTAGCCACTGTTCGTGGCAGTGGTTTTGCTATATCCCAGTTAGCTTGCAAGTTATATTGCGCTTGGGTTTCTGGTTGAACCCACTGCGCTCAGACGGGTAGCGCGTTATTTAACTTTAGTGCACTACGGCGAACACCGATATCTTCGTGTATCTGAACTTAACTGCGAAGACACAGTCCTACTTTTAGTAGTATAACTTCCCAACTCGTCGAGCGTGTTATGTATACTTTCAGTTATTCGTTGGAACGGGCGGTCAAAGAAAAAAGAAGGTATAGCAGCCCTAATACAAACGAAAGCAAGCAAACCGTATTTGTTCATGGTGTTCCTGAGCTACCGGGTTCTTTTGATCATGCTGCGCAAAAACCTGACCAAGATTAGCGGTGCTGCATCCACGAAGCACTCTCTGGACTAACTTATCGCTAAACTAACAGCAAGAATCCCTTCATCTCCAAACTACAAGGTCTGCGGTCCAAAAATATTGAAAGTCGTGCTGCACTCCGAAGGAATGACATGGTCCTATCGATATGCTGCCATTTCCCTTCAGCAATTTTAAGAGCAAGAACGAACATTTTTGCGTGATAACATGAATTCGGATTATTTCGTATCTTCTCATTCAACCGCTTACAGACCAATCGGGGAAGGAGTAAAAGTATGCAGTAAGAGACTCAATCAAACACTGAGAAAATCAAGGTCATCGCCTACGTCTTACCAAAGCAAGGCAGGGCTGGTCACCAGCTTGAGCTGTTTGAAAAGCTTAGGTTTCATTCGCCGGATGGTAGGGGCTTCAGCGAAACGAAGCAAGCTCAAGTGGTTCTGTGTGCTGATAACCTTGAATGCGTCAGGTGGGCTTTCCCACAAGGTGCAATCGAGCAGATGCTGAGCGATTGAGCTAGCAGGAAGTTTAGGGCCACTATTCGCCCGGTTCCTTGATCCTAGTTGATAGCTTCCCCTCGGTTCGGCCAATGTACCTGGTACCGCAAGTATAGGTGAATTGGTAACCACATGAGGCGGTAATCTGAGAGTGAGGCTTATCCAAGTTAGATTCATGGAACGGCTCCTTTTGATTTAACAGCATGAGATCCGATGCGTAGTAGCACCCTTTTATGGCTTGGTGTAATCGGTAGCACAATCTTCTGACGTTTTGTTCCTTTTTGTAGGGTAGCGTGATGAATACCTTTTTCTGGGACATTCATTCGCTTTTCTCTCTTAGGAACCTCGTTCCCATACCTGGCAATACATTTATTCGACAGCTGCTTTTGCGTAGGGTTGACTCGATGTTTGGTGCTTCAGCCTCGATTGACTCTTCAGAGCATATTCGGTGTGCTCTAACAAAGTTCCAACTAAGGATCGTTTATATTTCATTGGACAGTATCGTGAAATGAATGTATTGTCCGGTCCAGCTCGGTTTACGGTAAATCGATCTTATGAGTGAACCATTTTCTCTTATCTTACGTGCAACCTCATGCAAATGAAACGAAGCATTCGATTCACTTTCCATAGTAAACTTAAAATTAGGATGGCATTTGTTTAGCGTTTCCAAAAGGACTTTCACGTGCTAGACAGTGTCAACTACAACAAAAGTATCGTCGGTATTCCTTGGGTAAAGGTGTGTTGCTCCAAGGACTTCGCGTAATAAGTTAATCTCCAGATGACCCATAAAGACGCCAGCCAGAATCGGACCGAGAGGCTACCCATCGCAACCCTTTCAATTTGACGATAGATATTCCCATCAAAGCAAACTTGGGTGTCCTTCGTGCAAATGCTGAGTAAGGTCTTCAGTTGATGTGCAGGCAGGCCAACTTTGCCCGCATGCATACTTATGATGTTCAACGTTTCATCCAAAGGAACGTTCGTGAAAAGGGAAAAAAAACATGAAAAGATACCATGTGCTTATCCGGATCTTTCAAGTGTCGAACTTTGTCAACGAACTCATACGTGTATTTTAGATTATGCACTGCTAGCTCAGAACGTACCGGCTCGAGTCGCTTTGCCAACCGTTGTGTCAGTTTCTGGTGCGGCTCCGCAACGAATGAAAGAATCGGACGCAGTGGAACCCCTTCTTTGCGTATTTTTGGTAATCAGTCTTGAGCTTCGGGGGCGGAGTTCCGCCATAGTTGGAACCCAGCGACAGCGCTTCAGTTTGGAGGCGACTGAGTGGTACGTTGGAACATTTCACCACATACTTCAGCGGGTTAGGTGAAAGTTGATCATACAAATGCTCAGCAGAGTCCAAAATTTACTGTCTCGTTAACAACCTCCTTTTGACCTGAGTCTTTCGCAGGAACCTATAAAAGTTCGTGCGACAAGCAAGATTGTGACTGTTCAAACGAGGGTTGACGCATCCGGAACCGGCTTTCAGCTGTG